GGGGGGGGGGGGGGGCCGCCACCTGCCTTTCGCTCTGGCCCAGACGAGTGCGGAGGTGAGCAGCAGCAGGTGCCGCTGCAGCTGACTTGCCCCCTGGCTGTCTGTCGAGGAACCGCGCAGGAGCCAAGATGGTGGAGAGAAGGTCCACTCGCTGGGGAGTCCAGCGGGAGTGTTGAGTCTGACCTTGCAAAGCCCTGGAGCCCCCCTGTTTCACTCCTTCGCCACTGTCTCCATCAATTCCTGGGGGTTCCTGTTGGGAAGCGAGGAAAGGAAGTGAGCCTTCTCCCCCGACCATGGGCGGTGTGGTCCCCCCCCCCCCAGCAGGGGGCCCTGGGCAGTGACATCTTCCTGAAGAAGACCATCATTCTAGGAAAGCCAGAGGCAGAAGAAGAAGAGGAGGACGAGGAGGAAGACCAAAGAAGAGCTGAATTTACTCTGCAGAGGAAGCCACAGCCTTGAGCAGCAAAGGGCCTCCCGGTGGGCTTTCATTCATGGGGTTGCCTTACAACTTGATGGTCTAAAACGACAATACCAGTTTGAATGGCTTTCCAAGGGGATTAGACAAATTTCCAGAGGAGAGGGCTATTAATCCAGGATCAGAGACAATATACTTGCCCATGCATACCAATGGCTGGGGAACATGGGAGGGAGAGTGCTTTGCCCTACTTACAGGTTCCTCGCAGGCGGCTGGTTGGCTGACCCAGCCTGGCCCTTTTCGTGATCTCTTGATCTGATCCAGAACAAAGTGTTCTCCGCTACAGTCTTTGGTGGAGAGCGGGCTTCGGGCAGGAAGCCATCCCATGCAAGACCCTTGTCTTGTGGTCGGCCACCTTAGGATGGCCAAGTGGCCGATTTTACCCTCTGTTTGAAGGGATGTGAGAGGATCGCCCTTGCCATGAGGAAAGCAGTCCTGTCCCATTCTAGGTTAGGGACTCAGGACCATGGGAAGTATTGCTCCTCAGCGCCTGAAAGCCAACTGAACAAGCTGGCACGCAGCTCCCTGGTTCCAGTCTTCTGCTCTATGAGAAGATGAGCTGTATCTGAGTTCCAGTTCCAGCCATTATTTCTCAGTTTGCATCGTCACATATGAACCAGTGCAGGCCATTTTTAAGCCCGTCTCCAGGTTCTCTTGGGGTGACGTTTCATTCACGAGTGACCACTTTACCAGCGGCAGGGGCCAATTGTTAATGCAAGCAAGGGGGCGGCTTCATCAACAGGTGGGTGTTGCAAAGGCCACACAGGAATGTTTACGATGCGTACATATTTTAGCAGCAGGCTGAAGCACCAGAGAAAAGCCCAGCACTGAATCTGGATTTTCACTCTGGAAGCTTTAACATCCGGGCTGAAACATTCCGCATGACGAAGGCTCATCCTGAACGTGCTCTTGCGTGTCTTCTCGGAGAAACCATCCAGCAGCAGCTCATGGGGTCCCTCGTCATTTTACATACTCTCTGAGCACCTGCCTGGTAGCTCAGCAGCTGGGAGTAGCTAAGCTGCAGTGGCTGCTCTCCATTTTAGTTTCTCTACCAAACCTCTCTGTGCCAGATGTTTCTCCCAACGGCACATCACGGACGGCGAAACATAAAATCCAGGCACTGCTTTGAAGAGGGTGCTGACTGCAATTTGGGCAGGAGGAATTTTTTCACCCGCTCTCCCTTGGACAAAGCAAAGCTTCAGACCAAGCATTAAGCCTCTCATGTTTGCTTTTCAAGCTTCACATAAAAGCAACAGGAAACGAGACAGGTCTTGCGGCTCACCCATGCAAACCCACCCACCCAAACGCTCTCCACCAGGAGACAGTGCAGTCACATTGCAGGAGGGCAGTGGGAATTCATTTGATCCTGGATGCCCTTATACTTCCAGTGGAGCAAAGGCCGGGAAATAAAACTGCAGGTGTAGGTGCCTATGGTCTTCATATGGAAGCCTCCAGATCCCGAATGATCCACAGGGATCCAGTGCCCCTTTAATCCCGTGTCACACCCTTCCTTGGCCTTCCCATCACCTGCACAGAAGTGGTTTCCTGACGGGGAGGGCTCAGACCAGCGCTCAGCTCAGCCGGTGGAACAGCACCTCGCAGCGTGAAGCCTTCCTCACTGTCAACCGCAATAGGTGAAACTGGAGCAGCCCAAAGCACTGGTTCAGCCAAGCCACACTGGCCCAAAAGAGGATTCTAACATTCGCACAACCACATAAATGCCAGTTGCTTCCACAGCTATTAAAGCAGGGCCAGCATTATTGTAAATCTGAATGTGGGATGGCCACTTATTTACATTTTATTAAACCAAAATCAAGTTGAACCATAAGGAAGGCTGAGCGCCGAAGGATTGAGGCCTTTGAATTGTGGTGCTGGAGGAGACTCCTGCGAGTCCCTTGGACCACAAGGCGATCAAACCGGTCAGTCCTAGAAACACAGAAACAGAAAACAGCGCGAGTCAGAAGGGGTCTCCCGGGCCATCTAGTCTGACCTCCGGCACCAGCCGGCTCCGCTCACGACATGCCCACCATGTGGACGACCAGCCTATCCTTGAACACCTGCACTGATGGGGCCTCAACGACCTCCCGGGGAAGCCCATTCCGCACCCTTGGGGTCCTGACTGCCAGGAAGTGCTTCCTGGCACCCAAATGCAACCTTGGCTCCCTGAGCTTTGCTCCGTTGGAGCGCGTCTGCCTTCCTCTGCAGGGGAGAACAGGTCTCTACCCACCTCCATGTGACACCCCCTCACATACCTGTATGTGGCCAACAGATCCCCTCTGAGTCTCCACTTCTCCAGGCTGAAGAGACCCAGTTCCCTCAGTCTCTCCTCATATGGCTTCCCCTGTAATCCGGCCACCAACCTTGTGGCCCTTCGCCGCACTGATTCCAACCTGGCTATATCCTTCCTGTAATGAGGGGCCCAAAACTGAACACAATACTCCAGTTGCGGGCGCACTAGAGTCGTACAGAGTGGTAGTAATACCTCTCTCGATCTGGAAGCCACACTTCTGGCTATGCAACCAAGGGTGGCATTGGCCCTCTTGGCCACCGCATCACACGGCTGGCTCATGTTCAGCCTGCAGTTGACCAGCACCCCGAGGTCCCTTTTACAAGCGTTGCTCTCCAGCCGCTTGTCCCCTAACCTGTACTTATGACACCCATCCCTGTGCCCCAAGTGCAAGACCTTGCACTTATCCACTTTGAACGCCATCCTGTTGTCTCCTGCCCACTTCCATAGTCTCTCCAGATCCTTTTGGATCTGGAGTACCTGCTCCTCAGTTGTGGCCACTGCCCCAGTTTTAGTGTCGTCTGTGAATTTGATCAGCAGACTGTTCACCCCTTCTTCCATGTCGTTAATGAAAAGATGAAACAGGATCGGCCCCAGGACAGAGCCCTGGGGGACCCCGCTTGTCACTGGCCGCCATCCCGATGATTCCCCACTAATGCTTACCTTCTGCTTTCAGTCAGTCAACCATGCCCTAATCCACCGGACAGTGCTTTGGTGTACCCCAAAACTCCTCAGTTTCTCCACCAGGATATCATGGGGCACTTTGTCAAAGGCCTTGCTGAAATCCAGGTATAGCACATCCACCGCATCCCCTCCATCAAGCCACCTCGAAACCTTGTCACAGAATCCCACAAGGTTTGTCTGGCAGGAGGAGATCCTAGAGGAGGTCAACCCCGACTGCTCTTTAGAAGGCCAGATCCTGAAGATGAGACTCAAGTACTTTGGCCACCTAATGAGAAGGAAGGACTCCCTGGAGAAGAGCCTAATGCTGGGAACAATAGACGGCAATAGAAGAAGGGGGCGGCAGAGGATGAGGTGGCTGGATGGAGTCACTGAAGCAGTTAGTGTGGGCTTGGGTGAGCTCTGGGGGATCGTGGAGGGCAGGGGGGCCTGGAGGAGTGTTGTCCATGGGGTCACGATGGGTCGGACACAACTTCACGACTAACAACAAAACCAAAATCTAAAGTATCCATTCAACTGTATAAACTGGAATGACTTATCCATGAGCTTCTGCAAAGAGATCCTGACGTATGACCATTTGGTGGCAAGCATTAGAAAGGTGAGGCTGCCCCCCCCCCCCCCGAGAGGGAAAAGGGAGACATGCACGGGAGGCTGCGTTCCATAAGCCCAGAGCGCACCACTATTTATGGACTAGTTGATCCATGAAGACTTCCAGGTTCTTTCTCCACGGACTGCAAAGCATGCTCTCCTCTGCATCATGCAGCTTGGCCAGCTTTCTGTTGTTGGGAGAGTCACAGTCTCAGACGAGTCACAGAAGCTTCCTAGGAAATTCAGTCACCGTGCCTTCATTCCAGCTTTTTGCCTCACTTGGCAGGACTGTTAACGCAGCGCAATTGATGTTATTCCTCGAATGACAATAGCCAAGCATTGTAGACACAGAAGGCTTTCTTTGAAGTCAAGCCACCAAATCTGGGTGTGACTGTTTTATCAGAAGACCAATTGAAGTCTGAGACCACTAATTCAATATATGGCCAGTGTGCTTTACGGGGGGCGGGGGGGTCCCTGTTGCAGTCTGAAGGCTCCGTAATAGATGGTGCCAATTTCTGCTAGGTGTTTTCTGTAAAAGTGCAAAATAAAAACCATCCCAGAAACCCAGGAGAAACGTCTGCTCTAGATTCATCAACACTAAGGCGAGCTGTAGTGTAGGAGAGTGCGGCCCTGCGACCTGAGCCATGGCTACGCCCCAAGTTAGAACCACCTGATTGATGCTTCTTGGGTTGATTGTACCAACTGGGCCTGGGGGAGAATCCCACACTCACACAGCTATCAAAATGGAGAAAAGAAAAAAAAAGCAATACAAGAAAAGATGCTGTAAGGGTTTTAATTGTACTTTGCTCTTGACACTGTACAAAGAAACATTTACAGAGAACCACAGTGCTTTGGTTGTTGTCTATTTACACTTGTGTCCAGAATTTCACCCCATTGATTGTTTCAGGCCAGATGCCCCTCTGCACTAGAAACGCTTCCCCCCTAAACTCATTTGCAGTCCGCTTCTTTCTCTTGGGCCAATATTCAGTAGTGCTTCAGGGATGTTACTAATAGCTCACTGTTGTTTTATGCTATTTCGGATCGATCAATGCTAACCGCCCTCCCTCGTTCCAATCAGGCCTTCCAAAAAACTAAGTCACAAGTAAATAGACTTCACCAGTTTCATGCCTTCTCCCCACTAACCGACAAACCACCACCACCACGGACCAGTTTACCTTGCAACATACCGCGTTCCTTCCTTCGCTTCCAACAGCCAGCATCCTCGGATGCCGCGCGAAACCCCCTCACCCTTTTGCACTCACTCATGGTACCCTCGCCTCCGCCTTCTGCGACATGCTCTAAGCCTTCTCTGCTCACTGCGATCCCCCTTCAGTAGTTCAAGCTGCTACGAGCGCCTGCTGCGGTTCACCACATCGGCTCCTCTGCCCCCTCCCCTCAGGACTGCCAGCTGCGGTACTTCTCAGGGAAGGGGCGAGAAGCTGGCGGCCCGACTTCTCCTCTTCGAAGGAGAGCTACTTGTCAAAGGCACAGAAACCCAGGTCGATTGGGGTGGGGTCGGGGGCACTCCCATTCCCCCAATGGCTCAAAAACGTATGGCTTTGTGTCACCCGGTAAAGTTCTGAATTGGCTTTTAAATATACATGACGTACAATACACATGTACAAACAGACACACACCCGTCAAGGACTTAGAGAGAGAGGAAGGAGGAAAAGCCAATTCATACGTTGAGAAATACACAGAATTTGAAGTACAAAAGGCGTTCTCTACAAACTTATTCAAATAATAAAAAAAGATTAAATGCTTGGCAGGTCGTATCAATTCAAACAAGGAATGTACAACAAACAACAAAAAGTACAGAATTCCAGTCGGTAAGGTAGAAAACTGTTGAGCCTGAGAGTCTGTTCTTGGGAAACAGGACTTGGCGCCCCCAGAAAACTGAAGCGATCCTATGGAACTTGGGCCAGCTCCAGAGTAGGGGGCCGGGGGCAGCTACGTATCCGAGAAGCACCTGCTGCAGAATACTCGCTTTGAAAAAATAATCAGTCCTGCAGTCACGCCTCTCTATTCCCCAGAAATCAAGCCTCAGAAATCCGTCCCTTCTCAGTATCAAATCCCGGGGTGGATGTTATCGTGATCCCTCAGCTCCAGAAAGTACAGAACGCCTTGCTGCGACCCCGAAATCCGAGTGTTTTGTTTTTGGAATCAGACTCCAGTTCAACATGTTTACTGAAAAGCAATAGCTGCCATAAAAAAGACAAACACAAACACAGACTTCTCTTCAGAAGGAGTAGCCCCCACCATTCTCACATTACAGGAAAGAAAATGTACACTTTTATTTATAAATTAACACTGGAGGAAGGTGCCCGTCCCCTTCAGACAAGCGTCTCTTTCCGCTTGCCGCTGGTCGAGGCTCTCTCCCTGGTCCTCCTGAGGGCAGAGTGTCTCCGACACGGGTTTGCGGCCTTGGCCTCCTCCGTCTCGTCCGCCACGGAGCCACACTCAGAAGCGTTCTCCTCCAGCTCCATGTGGATGCTGGCCGACGCGGTCGACTGCCTCCTCTGGATTTTGGCGCTGGACGCCGAGGGGTGGTTCTCCTCCGCCTCTTCGCTGAGCTCTGGGAGCAATCTCAGCTCGGAGGGTGCGGCCGCGGGCTGGTAGGGCGCGATGGCCGCGCGGATGCAGTTGAACCACTGCTGCTTGTGGAAGACGTCGTTGGCCTGCAGCGTGTGGGACTGGCCGGGGGCAGGGTCTCTGAAGCGCACCCGGAAGATGTTTTTAGCTGGTGGGGGCAGAGGGGGAGTGTGGTCAGGGTTACTTAACGGCATTCTGGTACATGCTGCAGCAGAGCCACGAACGGGGCATCCGAGCACTGGGTCCACACGCCCAGAGCTCACCTGAGAGCGCAGAGAAGCACCTCCACAGAGGCTGCGCATGCAGGCTCACGGGTTTCCCACTATCCCTCCTCTCCGTTTAGGGATGGGAGAAACAAGGGCGCTCCCCCGGGCTACCGCGTCACATGCCCGGCGCCCTCCCCACCGCCACATCGTGCCAGCTGGCCAGAGGCGAGGCGAGCTGCTGCCCAGCATCTCTGCAGGATGCCGGCTGGAAAAGGCAGATCCACAGCAGTGCCTCTGGGTTCAAAGGCGCGCACCAAGCGTGACTGGGGAGCGCGAGTCCCTTCTGGAGATCTCCGCCAGCGGTGGCATGGGATGGGCAAGGAAGCCCCGCTGCGAGCAGAGGCGCAGCACCAGGACTGCCTGCGGACCTCGCAGCGGCTGACCGACAAGGGTGGAGTTTTCCGCAGCGCTGCTAAGCTGAACCAGGTATGGGATCACGCAGGGTTAAACCATGCTGCTGCTTTTCCAGAAGGCTGAGCAAACCCAAGGTCAAGATTCTTCAGATCTAATCTGCCCAAAGTCTCATCTTGAGAGTGTCTGACCAGCATGCAGACCCCAAGTCACCCTGTTCAGGATCAATCTAAATACTCTTCAGAACCCGGCAAGTCACAGTTTGGTCTCGTGTCAAAGCACGTGCGAGAGCCAGCCGAGAGACAAACACCCAAGGAATGCCCACCCCACCCCCCCCCCCATTAGGAAGAGTGGCTGCGTCCCGGCCGGCCCGCATGCCGCTCGAGGAGGGCAGCCTCATACCTTTATCAGAGCTGCCGAATGCCCCTCGAAAAGAGCCCCCCATCTTCACGTCTCCGTCCTGCAAGTCCTCCAGCACCAGGTCCGGCACTGGGATGGGCTGCCGATACACTTGGAAAGAATGGCGCTCATTACGTGTCACGGGCCGAGTGAGAACCAAGATGTCTTGGAACAGGAAGACATACAATTTCTGGGGAGGGAGAAGGAGAAAGCATCTCAGGCATGATCTTTGATCAGAAAAAATATACATCGTAGGACATTTTAAGAGGGCAGCTGCATTCGTCTATGGCAGCAAAAACAAGAAGGCCTCTTGTGGCATCTTAAACAGGCGAGAGCTCACCGCAACGCTCCATCACCAACCCAGGCCCAAATAAGAATGAGAAACACCGTGACCCTCATCAGTGGAACCACCAGCAAGGAGCTCAGTGCAGAGCAGAGTTAGCACACTGACGGCTGTCGAAAAGCTGCAAGGTAGCACGGTTGGAAAGACTTCCGCCTAGACCCCAGAGACCCACTGCCAGTCAGAATGAAGAATTCTAGTCTAAACAGAACCAGCCACCGGGCTCAGTTAGGCAGCTTCAGATAAGTTAATCCCTGCTCTCTTAGGAGCCTTGCCTTCACAGCAGAACTATTTCCTCCTCATACTGGGTCAATGTACAAATTGCACCACCTAAGAAAGTTCATTTCCTCATCAGGCCATGCCCTGCACCAGAAACCTCTGCGTTCGCCTGCTAATGGGGTGAGAAGATGGGAAGAGGGGACTTTGTTTCCTGCACGACTCATGATCCTGGAGGAGGATGATGTAAGACTAATTAACATTTCAACCTAGCTTCGATCAGACACAAGATTGTTAACCATTAGAGGTCAAGGTGACCTGCAAACGAGATGTTTTACTCACAGCTGGGAGGAAGGCCAAGAAACCTTCAGGTTCCAGCTTCTATTCCGAGAAGCAGCATTAGCCAAGCTTTAATAGGGCCATGCTGGACTTCAGGCTGTCATCAGCTTTCCTCAACACAGAGGATTACACGTTAGGAATGGCTCTGGAGGCGCATTACATCACCGAGACGCTCAGGAAGCACACCCTGACCCCACTACGGAATGCCGGTCGTGCTTTCAATGGTAGCTTCATGCTAACTGTTTCGCAACCCTCTGGAAACTGGGCAGCTGCCAGGCGTGCACACTGGGGCTTCTTAATGGGTTCCTTTGTGCCTGAGCCCAAACTTGACACCAACCACAGGAAAGGGGGAGGGGGAAAGGGATCTCCAGTTCTGACACAGCAAGAAGACACGGTTCTCTCAAGGCAAAGAATGAACTGAGGGCAGTGGCAGGCCCTGGACCCTGGCTGAGAGTGGGTTCTCTCTCGCACGAACGGGAAGCAGGACCCTCTCGTGAACACGTACTCCATCCCTGGCTCTGAGACGGCAGCACGGGCCTCACCCACCCCATCCCTACGGAGACAGCTACTCACGTGGCCGTTCTTGTTCTTCAGCTCCCCGTGGCAAAGCAGCACTTTGCTAGCTTCAATCCGCGGGTCTCTCTGCCTCTCGTCAAGGTACTCCAGTTTATCGACATAGTACTGACATTCGGACTCTCCTTTCTTCAAATTGATATCGGAGAGGACTCCTTGGATTATGGAGATCTACAAGAAACGGGTTTACCAGTTAATGCTTCCTGGGAACTGAAGTCAGACATAAGCACAGCTCTCCAGAGAGGTGGAGCGGCAGGACGGCACAACCCGAGCGCGCTGCAGTGCACGGATCGTGCTGCGCGAATGAAGTGGGGAGGGCCGTTGTGGTGCCAAGGCAGGAAGTCCCGCCGGCACACCACCCTGCTTCACTCTCACGTGGGGGGCTCCTGGCACGAGCCACCGTGAGGGGAGCAGAAGCCATGCAGGGTGGCTCCCGTCTGCAGCTCCCACGCACTGCAGCGGCACCTGTGCCGGGGGACGTGGAAGCTGGAGCCCAAAAGGCGGCTCTGCCAGTCCCTGGCTACGCCGGGTGTCGGGTGCCCATCTGCCATCTTCAAGGATATCTGGGCATCAGCCGCCTCTCGTTAGACCGCCCCCCCTTGGAATCGAGCATGTTGTGAGCAATGCCGTTTAGTCAGCGGTCCCTGTGGGCCACCCCCAAGGAATCTGAGCTGTCCTCCCCTTCACAAATCGTATCTGCATGTCTTATCCACCTTGAACAGAAAAGGGGCATCACTGGCAGTCTGGAACGCGGCCCGGAAAGGGTCGCCGCAGCTCGGCCCACAGCCACTTACCGCTTCTTCTAGGATCTGAACATCAGGATGGTCGTTGGGCGTGTGCCTAAGGATTTCCTTCAAGAGCAGAGGGTACTTGACCAGCCGACTTCGCGGGATGTCTAGGAAGCTCCAGAGGTCCAGCTTGCGGCTGAAGGGAGATTCCAGGCAGCGCTGGAGAAAGTCCTGGACGCGGCGGTCTTGCTTCTTCTGGTCCAGAAGGGCCTTGGCGGCCAGCTGGTTGCTACAGTAGGCTTTGTACGCATTCAGGCCCGGGAGCTGGAAACACAACGACACCGGATTTGCTCCTTGCTGCTCCACAGTGGCTGACCCTTTCGAGCAAGTCCGGCAACTGGCTTCTCCCGTGACTGGGCGCGTTACGGCACTAGGTATAAATTCCAGGAATTGCAAGTATGCAGCTCCCACTTCAGTAAAACAGCAAGGGGAAAAGAAAGCAAACCAGGGGGCACATTCCATGCCCGGCTTTCCTGCTACCTCTTAGTTAAAGGAGGCCAGTGCAGCCTCAAGATTTGTATGCCAGATACAAAAGTGATTACACCAGAGAAAAAGAGCAGCATATTCTGCGAGGATAGAAGTCACAAGTCTTCTTCTGAAGATAGGTGCATTCTTTGCAGGATACATCAGTTTGTATTCCAGACCATCTGGCTTCCTAACTAATGTTCCCATGAATTCTTAAGGGCTGGTGTCAAATAGAAAGCCAGGAGGAGGAGAAGCTGATGTTACCTACTCACCCATTTCACAAGAATGGGCCCAATTTGCTCCACTGTCCCATCTGGTCTTGTCGCTTCTCCCAGTCTTGCCAGAAAATCTGTAAGGTAAAGGCCCAAGAGTGTTGGTGCCAGGCCACACTTCTAGAGATATGGAATTGAGACATATACAAGCAGAAGTCAACCCTAAGCCCTGCTGAATTGGAGCTCTCACCAGTCTGAGCGTGTCCTGTATGTCCGTGGATCCACAGGGGAAGCTCCTCTCCGTGTCCAAGAGGAGGGCCACTGGGTCACCAGGACAGGACTCTCTCATGCAACGCCCTTTCCTAACCCAAACCCTTTCCCAGTGGGAAGCATCAGTCCACCTATCAGAGGCCCTGTGCTGTTTGAAATGACTAGTTAGGATTTTTTTTTAAACAGGGAACGCTGATGTGGCTGCTGAATCGAAGCGACCACGTGGCACGTTCGGGCAGCAGGACACGGGCTAGCAACCAGTTTGTTCTGACTTGTTTTGAGAGTTACTTGAATTCTGTGTGAATAACAGAAAGTGGGGCATATTCCTGTCTCTATAACTATAGGAACCTGAGACTTTCCCAGGTGGGGGCAGCTCACCTTCGTGCAAAGGGATGTAGGAATCCAGGTCCCCGAAAATATGAGTGAGCTCTTCCTCAGACATAATCGACAGCTTCAACATGGGGTCGTGGTAAGCCTGCAAACGAAGCGGGGCACACGTCAGCCAAGTGGCCACGGCGATCCAGCTGCGGCGATGGGGAGCGAGCAGCAGGGCCCTCGCCTGGCAGCAGGGCACGTGCTCTGCTCGCCAAGCACCCCAAGCTCAGCCCTGGGCGGGGCGGGGAAGACGCCTGCCAGGAACACTGCAGGGCTCCGGCCGGCCAGGCCAGGCCAGGCCATTCGGAGCTGGACAGGCCAACCCCTCCATGCTGAGGCCACTTCCGTGAGGTCCCAAGAAACATGTGGCAACCTTCCCAAGGCATCTGGGGCCGCTCTGCGGGAGCACGGCTCTCGCCGCACGATGCGGGGCTCACGTGCTGAATCTGTTTACTGTCAGGCTGAGAAAGGACAGGCCTTAAGATTTATTTAAGGCATTCAATGTATATACTGCTGAAACTATTTAAACTACCTCTAAGTAGCTGAAATATTACCCGTGACCCAGCTGCCAAGGCAGCAAATGCAGAGTTCTCTTCTCTGACAAATCCCCCCTCCCTTTCCTGAAGGATGTGGCCTGGAAGTGACGGCAGGGGCATCCAGCAGTCAATAAGGGGGCACCCGGTGTGGTTCTCGCTGCGAGGGACGCGCTTGACCCACCCCTTTGATGACAGAGTGAGCTCACTTATCCGCAGAATGCTCGAGACCCAGCCCAGCACGACAGCCCCGTTGCGGAAGCTTGTCTGAGTGTCCTAATTAGATAGGCAATTAGTTATATTTATAATTAATAATTAACATTAGGGCCCCTAATATTTGTGGTTGCTTTATGGCAGCAGATGGACCTAAAACATGAACTAAGTAAAATGAACGGTGCAAAGGAGAGAGACCAACCTTTCTGGCAAGCTTCAGGTCTTCAATCAAATCCTGCTCACCCCGGGACATTTCATAGATAGCCTGCCAAACGCAAAGTAGGGAAGCGTCAGAAGAGTCTCCCTCTTGCTGCCACAGAAATGCCAACAAACGTGGCCCCATTTCTAGCTTCCTGAGCTTTTCATGATGAAACAAACTGTTAAATTATACTGGAAAAAACAGAACTGCAGTCAGGTCAGATCCATGAATACTGTAAATGCTTTTCCGATTATGCAACAGATCGCTGTGGGGCTCACAGGGAGGCGGGTGGTACAACCTTCACGTTGCAACCTCTTGCCTGGGCTTCACAGCCGCATGCAAGGAAAAGTCGAGTCATTGCTGAGAAAAGTAAATGCCTTGTCACGAAACGAAGGTCTGAAGCTGGGACACGCAGCCAGATTAAACACAGAGGCCTCTCTGTTGGGACTTATGTTCCACTTGAAAGCGTTGAACTTAAGCGGGCTGAACTTTGGCCCTCGTCTAATTTGCCAGTTAGATCAGTGATATGAGTGCTTATCTTTTGCATATGAATCACACTTCTGGGTTAGCACATTTACAATCCTTCAGTTTGATTTTTAAAACAACACTGTTGACTTTATTGAGTGGTGTTGACACAAAAAGTGGGGAAAAACAGTCACGGTTTAGGAGCCACAATTCAAGGGCACAATACTATGCAGGTTTAAACAGAAGGAAATCCTTCAAGCTCTCAGTACTCCTTGGAGAGCACGGGCTGTTGCTATCTAAACCTGCATAGGGCCTTATGTCCTCAGAGAGGCAGCAAGGCTGAAAGACTCTCTTGTGATTCCTTTCAATCTCTCCATCATTTTCTTCAAACTGAAGGAGAGAGGGCACTGTCATCAGCCTCCCTACACTGTACCATGGAAATGCAAGAGCTGTATGTTCAGTATATGCATCGCTTATGCAATCATCCCTAAGCCCCATCTGAACACTTTATTCCAAGCATTAAACTAGTGCCTTCTACAGACTTTGGGATATGCTAGACAAGAATCCCAGAGAAGGCAGTAAGAGAGATTGCCCTAAGCGCTGACGCTGAATCGCGGGGAGGACCCAGCCAGGCACATTACAGAATGAGCACAGCGTGGACACAGGTTCCCCCGCACTACTTCACATCCACATCATCAGGACATGCCTCCAAAACCACGAAGGTTAGAAACACGCTGGTTTTCTCACAAACAAAAGCGAAGATGCTGAGAAACCAAACGCAGCACCGAATTCAAGCAGCCCCAGCTGCCTGCCCAGCAAACACCTGCGGCTTGCTCTTGCTCAAAGGGCCACCTACCTCTTGGCGTTTGATTTCTTTGGTGCTCAGTGTCTCCTTCATGTTGACATCCAGCGTCTCAGACCAAAGCACACTGTTTCTTCGTTTGGGAGGCGTTGGGGCGGCTGACCGGCTGCACAGCCTCTGAGCGTTACCTGGCGATTTGTTCTCACCACGAAGGGAAAAGGACTGCTGCACACGGAAAGAGAGGGAAAATGGTTTGTATGCGGGCATCAGCATTACGAACTTTAAGGCATTTTCACAGATACTAGACAGAAAAACAACGGCGACACCTTTCATGCTCACGAGGGATGCAGCTTGGCAACACTGTACACAGGTGTAAACATATCACACGACGTGCCACACAACCAAGCCACACTAACCTCTCAAAATGTATCTACCAAACCATCCTTAAGTCGGGCCTCCACAACCTGCTAGAGACCTCCTGGTTTCACTACCTGCCAGAAACTCATCAAAGAGATGAGTTATCAAGCACCTGGCAGACCATGATAACTGGGAGGGAGATTATAAATTGTACAAATCTGCTTCAGTATGTTTTAATCTCAGTCCTTTCCATAAACCACAGTCCTGTCTGGGGGAAAAGTAGCTAATCCAACCCATGTGGCCCTCAAAAGAGACTGAGCAACTGCTAATCTACAAGCATTTTCTTTGTTTCTTGGACCTGCCCCTCCACACTGTGGAGTCTGAACTGCTGCAGAGGATAAGGGTTAACGTGAAAGAATGGGCCGTGAGTCTGGCTCCAAGACCATAAATAGTGTAACTCTACCTCCGCCAAATCTGTGACATTAACAAGCCATGGGAGCTGGGTTCCTGGGCGGCTCATGACAGCACCAGCGTCCCGAACAAGCCCTGGCTGTATTTACACAGTTGGGTAGATGGTGTATCTTACATGACAGGCTTTTCTGATGTCACGTTCCCATTCTGAACAGATGGGTCAACTCAGGCTTCAGCACAGGCTGCAGTATGTCACACAAGCTCTTAGTGCTGGCGCAGGCGGCAGCCAGGCACCCCGCCACCCCCAACACACAGGTATTGGCTTCATCTTATGGCACTGGGCTCGTGGAAGGACTAATTCTACCCACATACCAGCAGAGGCACTGAATGGGCCATCAGTTTTTCGCATCCAGAACGTATCAAGTCTTCTTTTGGTTCCAATGACTCTTTTTAGACTTGTGCAAAAATGTGGGCATGGGAGCGGAGGCAAGGAACACCAGAAGATGTTCCAAAGTCAGATGCATTTATGGAAGGAAAGGAATGGTTAAACCCAAGTATTCTAACTCGGGAAGTAACCAATAATTTTGATGCCCTTTTCTGCAGGTTTGACAACAGGTGGCTTGCTGAAGGAAGAGGAAGTCAGCCACCTTCCGATTTCCTCCTTTAGCGTTCAATGAGGACTAGAAACTAAGAACACGGAGGCCTGCGATTCTGGCTCAGACGTTTTCCACAGCCCCTTCCCACTGCTAACAAGAGGCCCACAACCCGAGTTCCCCCTTTACCTGTATGGTCTGCCCAAACCGCCGCACTGCACCATTTCTTACAGGAGAAATCAGGTTTGCCAGGGAGGTGACCCGAGCCAGAGGTCGGACTCGCTTATTGCTAGGCTCCTGCAAACAGATAAACGAGAGAACACATTGTACAGGCAGTTTATGCAAAGCTCAGTGCACTGATCGTAGCCAGACTGCCTTGGGGACTGGAGAGCAGCAGAGAGCAAGGTTATGGACTACACTAAGGTACCCAGTTCCAAAACACACAGGCCTCTTCAAGACAAATATTTTGTTTCAGTGCTTAAGCTACAACTCAGCTGCAAACAAGCTGCTTGGGAGAGCAAGACGCAGGGATAACAAAGTCCACTGTGGCTGGGACAAGCAAGGCTATTTTCAGGGAACAGGTTTTTGCGCTTTCCTGCCTGCTTCCCTCCGGGCATGGAGAGTGTGGATGCAGGGGTGGGGGTGGGGGGGAACAGGGAGGACGAGAGCGAGCACGTGGCCAGCCCTGGGCTCCTTGCGGGAGGAAGCAAGGCGGGCTATTACTGCAATGCCACACAAATAAAATCCATCAACCACAACAGTTCTGAGTGCTGTTCTGAGGGGTAGGTGAAGGAACAGGGCTCCTGCCCTAGCAGAGTTCTCCATTCTGTCACACACACACACACACGGAGGGACGGAGGATAACACAAGCACTGTGTGCCACTACAGGAAGTTGCCATTATCAAATGATGTGTAAGAGGCACAGAGGTGCAAGGAGAACAGTCGCACGGCTTTGTGTGTTGCTATCCCTGCTGTGGCAGTGCACAGATAAAACAGAGGTACTGTTGAAGCACCAACACCTGCATCACAACTAAAAGGCAGTGCTGGAATAATACATTATCCCCACAATGGAAGATGTTTTGGTCCCTGGAAGACAGACAGTTGCAATGGTGCGTTTAATGTGCATTGAGATGGGAGGTGCTAAGAAACAGATTGACAATATAACTTAGCACTCTGCTGACAGAGTTGGCGACAAGAGAAGTCAGCTTATTCAATTGCATAACTGGCCCTAAAAGGTTGCAATGCAGGGATTTCCCCTCATCTCCCTTAAAAATGCAATCTAGTCTCTCTTTGACGAAGCTCATCTTCTCTTTTGATTCCACTTTCAGTTCTGTGTTTTCTTTCCCCTCTCAGATCACAAGCCCTTGAATACAGTCACGATGATGTTATGTTTTGTACAGCACAGAGCATTCTACGTAATTTGTTCTAAGCAGTAGCCACGACTTTCAGTACTGTCATTTTCAATGGAGGAATGGACCATTTCCGGATTATCTTCTTGGCCTGTCCGACTGCACAAGCCTGTTCAGGTTCCATTTATATCCTGTTCTAGATTTCTTTCGGGAAGCTGGCTGGCCACTTTGTGCACAGAACTGTGCTAGAATGGACAGAACTCTGGACAAATCAGAGTTCTTTTTACATCACGGAAGAGCCACCTAACACAAGGCTATGCATCTTCCTGTTCTTGTCTGTACCTGCAAGGAGTTGTGTTCTTTTTGCTATTTTGAGGCAGGAGATTTTCCCTTAGAGAACCCAGAAAAGTAGAGAAGAAAACTAGAACCATGCAGATCAGATATTAGTGGTGAAACTCGCTTCTATTAGGTTTCCTCTGTGCTGCTAAAGCAGCTAGGTTTGGGGGTTTTGCTTCTGTGTAGCAAAAAGGAAGTGGGACGACCAAAAAAGGAGAAAGACTGAGTTACTCAGGTTTACTGTCATGCCCTGGAGTGCAATTCAGAAATAGCTCTGCTGAAATCAGTTAGCACTGCCCCAAAGACAACAAAGCTGTGCTGTCCCATTAAGATACCAAGAAACTCTGAGAAATGATGTCATGCATTCCATGGGGGGTGCGGGGAGAGTATCTATTTCCAGGGTAAACGAAATAGCGACGCTCACTTCAAAGAATAGCTGCAGCAGAGCAACGCCTCGTCCTAGCTGACCTACCCTCTCCATACTGCACTTGTGGAGGAAAGCACCACAAGGCTGCCAAGTCACACTCTATGACTGTAACTTATACCAAGAGCTTGCGAAGGTTATTGCAATCTGCCATATTATCATCTCTCTTATTTAGTTAGTTCTGAAGGCAGCTATTATTGTACAGATGCAGAACTGAGGCTGAGGGACAATGACCCCCCTACACACACGCACAAACTAGATTCCATCCAATCAGCATAGATTGTATCATAATGGTTGCTTTTATTTTCTGAGCTGTATGGTGCACCAGATTAAGTCAGAAATGAGGATGGACTGTTTTAAAGACAACTACCAAAGTAAATGAATGAGAAAGAGAAAGAAAGAACACATCAACACGAATTTTTGAAGGAGACTTCTCTGCTCTTACGAAAAAGCTTTTTAAGCACTAAGATGCATTCCACAATTGTGTTGCAATAGCAGATCAGAAAAGGGCAGCAGGGAAAGTAAACATGGGTCTGGGCTCTTTTCAGTGACGTACCCTAGAATAGAAAAAGAAGGGAGCTGACAAGCTAGTCTGGCAGTTTCTCAAGAACCTAATTCTTCAGGTACGCTCCAGAACATGCTGTACATACATGTCACCAAGCACACACAAATGTCTACACCACACAGGTGTGCCCCAATAAGATGATAAACACACATGCTCCTGGGCTGCCAGAAACGTTTTTTTCTAGCACACAGCATTCTCCTGGTGTGAGTGGGTTTACAAATTACACCTGAACAACCAGGCCGGTGCAAGCCAAACGGAGATGTGTTTGGGGGACTGGAGGAGACTCTTCCTCCCTTCCTTGTACCTCACCCAATGCCTTTCTGATAATTACTGATTTTCTTTTCTTCTGGATCTAGTCTCATTTCTGGCAGAAGCATGAAGTCTAAAAGTCTGCATCAAGCCACACTATTTGGTTCTACCACTGTATCAAAATAGTTCAGCAAGTATTTTTAGGTTCCATTATATCAACCAGCTTATTCCAAAGAGCTGCTTATCAATTATTCCTGCTGAGGGAGGAAAGTCAAGCTTTGAGTTCCACAGCTGCAACAGTTAACCACAAGCTTGTTTTCATCTGAACTACTTTGTCAAGTTGCCTATTTTAAAGAGAGAGCCCACACTATCTGAAATCCTTCCCTGCTTACAGTGGAAAACCAGCTTTCACACTCCAATGAGGAGCAAGTAGAAGAGCAAAGAACTCAAAGCATTCCCCACAAGGCTTCTCTTGCCTCAGACAACCAATAATTCATGTTCAAATGAGCCACTTGAACTGAATCCCAAGAAGCCTTTTAGGCAGGCAAAGCCAAAGGTCAGGAACATCTGGGTAAGGTAGTTTTGGCCTCTGGGCTCACCTGCTTAAAAAGGTGGCCTTGAGAGTGACAATACCAAAGCATGTCACTGAGATCAAGTGGAGAACCGCAGGGGCACAGGATTTATACCACTCAGTTGGGACCCAAAGTTGCCCTCCGACAGCCACATTTGGAGATTTGCTTTTAAGTAGACTAAATGCGATTCCACAATATGGTTCTGAATGCACGATGCAGAACCTAAGCTCACTCCAAAAAACTCAGAATATTTAAGACGAATGTTTCCTTCTACCATTTTGTCATAACCAGGAATCAACTGCTAAAAGTTACAAAGCAATTTGGACCAAGAGGCTGCGAAGGATGCAAATCCAGAGAAACTAAAGGTCTCACTAAAACAGCTTCTCTTTGCCACAAATACAGCAAATCAATGAGGCAGGAAACACTTTTAAGAACAGCTGCATGAATGCCAGTGAACAAAGAATCCTGCTGAAGCCCTTTTCCTCAAAAAGGCAGGTAGTCTTCAAGTCAACATGCTAATCAGACAACATCCACACATTTCTACTGAAGCATCTATTCAGTGAGCAAAGCAGCAACCCAACACGCCCACAGGTATTTGCTTAGGTTATGACGCTTGTCCAAACTAAAGGAGCATATCAAAAGCAAAGAAATCCCGAGATCCAGGAAACACACACCCCATCCCAGGTAGCACAGCTGAGGAATGTCTCAAGATCCCAGAGCAGCCAGAACTAGCAATAATACCGAGACTGAGTGCCTCTTGCCACAGTCCCTCTACGGATTAGCCCTCTTCTGTACACAGAAGAGCACTTAAAAGCTGTCAAACAAACAAGAAAAGGAAAGCTTACTGAGAAATGCGATTACACTGTCTCCTCAGCTTCTAAACATCCTTGAGAACATCGTGTCAGAACATTTAAAGAGTTCCACTTTTCATAAAGGAGAACAACTAAATCATAAAGAAACCACCAGTACTTCCGGACAGGATGTATTATGTCACACAAGTCATTAGTTACAATATATTCAATTTTTTTGGTTCTTGTGACTCCTATTATCTTTCTAGAAGGTAACCTGAGGCATTCTATTTCTGCAGGATTAAAATATTTTCAGCAGATGCCGTAACATCACGCACACATAATAACCCCACAAGAACGACTTACAAACCAACTGACTCAACATAGCAGACTAACCCTAAGAAAATGCATCTGTCACTTCTCCATATGAGTACGTCCAGGAGCAGTCAGCGAAGCAACTTGTGTGCGTAAGCGGACTCCATTGTGTGATCATCATCGCCTGCTGCATTTATTACACTGCAGTGCATAATAAATGCACTGCAGAAGAAAGCTTTAATATCTTGACAGGGCAAAATAGGGAGCATGGAAAGAGGATGCAAAAGAGGAACAAGCCATGCTAGACGGGAACAGAGGAACTGAAGTAGCAGATTCCATTGACTAAGCCTCAGCTGCTTCAGGGTTCCGATATGAACTTCAGGTAGGGAGAGGGAAGAGACACACACAGAAGCACCCCCCCTTTCACACTGGCCTATCATGCTGTAGCAAGCAGGGCATAAACCATGCCTGCTCTCTGCTGAGTTAGCTCCCTTTTGAATAAGGAAGTCTAGACTGGGCAGAGCACCCGGTGGGTTTCAGCGCACTCACGGACAGCTTCCTTTCACAGGAAGGCCAAGAGACACAAACTTGGCACGGCATTAAAGACGCTGGACCTGCCTGCTGCAATTATGGGTTTCCTTAGTCGAAGTCTGGGCTAAGAGCAGCTTTCCCTGGTAAGCAGCAGTTTCAAAACGACGTTTAAGGACCAGCGCAGAAGGACAAATAGGGCAACTGATCGATTTCTATTGATTATCTTCTCGTACACCTTAGTCTACAGGCAGCAATCCAAAAACTCACTAGCTTTTTACTTCTCCTGAATCTTCAACAAAATTATGTCGTTTACTTAGCGGGAGACTCCCTCCCCCCGCTAGGTACATTTGTCCTCAACGGAAATCCGACTTCTTCTCATTCAAATGTTAAACAGGGGTGCTTAAGGAGCGAAGGGTCAGAGCGAACCGCACCTTCGACTTCTTGCACGCGCAACAGGATCCCTCGCAGACTTACTCGGCGGTAAAACCCACCGCGTTTTGAAGGACGCGCGCTCCTCCTTCAGCTTCCCTAACAGGCAACCTTACAGCTTCCAAGCAGCGCCTTGGTCGCCGATTAAAGCAGAAACGTCCCTGGCTCCCGCCTTACCTCCGGCTCCCGGCAAGGCTGGTTCTGCACATCGATCACCCGAATACTCCTCTTAATGGGGAGCAGCCCCCCGGCGTCATCGAGAGCCACCATATCCCCTCCCCCCGCAAGGCTTCCCCGCGCCCGGGCCTTCCTTAATCCGCTCGGCACGGCGCGGCCAGCCAAAGAGAGGGCGACGCGGCCGCGACCCGCCCTTGGCCGCGCTCGGGGCGCCGCCGGGCCTGGAGGAACGCCACGCCGCCCGCAGGTGATCCGCTTGCACCCGCTCTGAGCACGGCGCTCCGAGGCGCGCGGTCCAAGGCGCGGCGGGCGGGGCGCCGAGCAGCCCGAGGGCGGGGCGCCGGGGCGCGCGGGCGCCATTGGCTCGCCGGCGCCGGCCACGCCCACCCGCCTCGGGTTCCACGCGGCAGAGCCGAGCCGAGCCCTCGCTAGGTAGCTTCCCTCGCGCGCGCGCGCGCGCGTGGCGCCGGGGGGCGCCTTGCGGAGCGGGCACGCGCGAGGAGCTGGCGCCAGCCCCGTCCCCTGCAAGGGGCGCGAGCGGCAGCGGCTGGGCCAGGCGCCCCGCGCGCGCCGCCTTGGGGGTCCCGTTCGCAGCACGCTGACTGTGAAGCGGAGCGACCTTCGGCGCGGCCCGGGAGAGACCGAAGCGATTAGCCCGAGTGGAATTACAGGACAGGCTTCGCGGAACCCTACCCGAGGGCTTGCTTGTAGGGAACTAAATCCCAGTGCGTTCAGCTGCGCTTACTCCAAAATTAAAGGGGCAGAGGGCTTCCATCGTGCGACCCGAGCCCGCGCAGACCTACTCGGAAAAGTGGCGCTCACTCCCATGCAAGTATCAGCAATCCTACGAAGCATGCCCCGCCGATCCCCTTTGGAACTTCCGAGCAAGCATGCGCGGGTAGCACGTCGGCCTCCTGGCGCACGCCTGGGAGCGAAACCCACGGCATCCAGCAGAACCCAGTTCAGTACGCGCATGAAACTAAGGATCGCCTTTTATGCCCCCAAACTATGCACGTATTTGGAAGTAAACCTTCCCAAGAGCCTGGGGTTTACTTTTAAGTATGCATAGGCTCCGAGTAAGGATGCAAGTGTTCCAACACGATGCACTTTTAGGGTGGACCTGCTCCTTTAACTTCATGTCCGGGTTCTTCCCGCCACCTGACAAGAGACACCTGCCGGAATGCTCTTTTGCACATCAGATTTGCATCCTTTACACAGCATTACTCAATCAGAGGCACTTTTGCCCTGATAAGCAGCCTGACGATATTTAAACAATGCACTGATTTTTCTGGGGCCACATTTGGAGTAAATGTAATGAGACTGTTTTGCTTCAGTAAACGGAGCCAGCAGGGACCGTGTATTCCTGTAAAAATTCTGCTTAATTCACAAAATGCCCTGGCATCATCACAGAGCAACAAGCTGGCCAGGTAGTCCCAGAATAAGTGGGAGTCTTGGGAGTGAATAGTATGCAAATACTTTGAATAAACAAACCTCCTTTCAAATACATTTCCATAAGCTGGTTGTAGGAAATTTAACATAGCAATCCTATGCGTGTCTGCTCGGGCACGGCAGCACGTGGACTGTGTCAGGCAAGCTCTGAAGTAAACATGTATAGGACCGCTCTGAGAAATGAAGGCATTTCTTCCTTCCTGTGCTTCCAAGAGCGAAGTCCAAGTGGGGATTTTAGCAGAAGGCAATTTCCTCACACCTGCAGCAATCGCTGCAGCCATAAGAGCGCCCCCTTCTGTCCAGTGGACTGGGAGGGGTCTCCTCTGTTCACCTGCGTTTGGCCACTCGGGACTCAGCAGCCCCGCAGAGCTGAGTCTGAACATTTCGGCCTGAACATTTCACTGGGAGCGTAGGGAGGCTTATTATGGCTCAGTGCAGGGCTTTACCCGATATTCAAACACAAGATCTTTCTGATCAACGCCTCAAAATTCACTGGGTGACTTTGGCCCAGAGGCCTGAATTATTTTATAGGGCTATTATGAAAACAACATGAGAGCGTTCACCCTTTATGCTGCCACAGGTGCTATTCTGATGTCCTTGGATAAAGGAGGTGGATGGAGAGAGCCGAGTCCAGTAGTGCTTGCTGCAGTAACAGCATGATCCCTCATCAGAACTAAGTCCAACTAAGTTCAGTGGAGCTTGCCCTCAGAAAAGGGTGTCCAGGACTGCATCCCACGCCTTCCTTCGTTTACTCAGACAGGTTCCTTGACATGCAAAAACTCATGCCTTGGCCTATTTCTAGAGCATCAAAATTAATTTACACCTTCCTCGGGAATGCATTACATGCTCCCTCCGATCCCCCCAAAACACAAAGGACCTTTCACTGGAGACCAAGACCAAGATCTCACACGCCATGCCTGGGTGTGAAAGTCAGATGGTGAAGAAACCTGACAGGAAGGAAACTGATGGTGCTGGAGGAGAGCTTCGGGAATATCCTGGATGGACAGAAGGGTGAATAAGTGGATCGTACATCAAATCAAGCCAGAACTTACCCTGGCAGCAAAAAGGACAAAAGAGAGGCTGGCGTACTTTGGACACATCATGAGAGGGAAAGACTCGCTGGAGAAGACCATCATGCTGGGGAGGTCAAAAGCAGAGGAAAAGGAAGACCAAATATGCATTCACACAGAGTTGCCGTAATCTGACAAGCAGCAGAAGTGTTTTGGGGCATATGCAGCTTCAGTTCAGCAGAACTGAACTATTTCTGTGTATGTTTACTTAGAAGTAATTCTCGCTTGAGTCCTCTAGGGCTCAGTCCTATATAAGCACTCACTGGATGGTAGCCTTTAACGCATTTTTTCATAAATCGCAGTCATCGTCCTTCCCTGGCACAAGCACCAGCTATTTCCCCCAAACTAGGTAACAGTGATTTTTGTAAGACCCACTCTATTTGATGCTTACATATATAAATCCACAAGATTTGTAACTCACTTATGGAATGAGATGAAGAGGAAAGCCAAGCTGCAATACTGAGAGCCAGTGTGATGAAGTGGTTAAAAGCACGGGGCTTGGGACTAAGGAGAGCTGGGTTCTCGCTTCCCCAGCCACGGAGCTCACTGGTGGATTTTAGGTCAGTCACAGACTCTCAGGCTGACCTGCCTCACAGGCCTCTGGTGAGGATAAGATTGAGGGAAGAATGATGTGAGCTGCCCTGGGTTCCTTGGAAGGAAACAGCAGGAAAATTGTTATCAGATATCCTGCTGCAGCATAGCTATGTCTGCAACAGGCAATGGTCTCTGAAGAGCTTAATGAAACGAGAGGCCCAGTTTAATGTACCCTGCCCTCTACTGTATTCTCAAACAGGCTGGCAGCCTTATCAGGCTGGATTTCTTAGCATGCATTTCATTTGTCCTGCAAATAATTATGCCTGAGGTAGGGGTTCAAGCACTTGCACAATTCTAAATCTCAGGATGGTCCCATAGGAAGGAAACCATTAAATCAGTTTAATGCACCAGACCATTTTAGCGGAGACTGGATGTATGGGTCCAACCCTTCTGTTCTTATCTGCATGTTCCAAATGCGCAAGGGCTCCCTTACTGAACAATATGGGTCAGCCAAAAGACTTTGCTTCTTTAAGAACTGTGATTTCCAGCAGTGCGTCCCTTGAAAAGCTTGGGAGGGATTCACGTGTGTGACCCTCCGATTATGTGAGGCACGCTCCCCAACACCCTTTGCAATATGGAAAGAGCACCGCGGGAGCAGGCTGAGTCAGTGAAATCTTAAAAATATGAAATGGCACAAGCCGTCTCATCCACGTGACTGGACTCGCATGGTAAGCAACAGGGATATCGGAGGAAAAACAGGTGCTTCCATTTGCACAGGGTGTTTCCTGTGCTGTCTCAGGTGGGCAGCTTGGAAAGCACAGAGGAAACAATCTCTTTGAACGTGTCCTGCAACTGTTGTTCTGTGGGGTCAATATGCCTGCACATATTTTTAGCTTTTTAATGAAGTGGAATTCTTTATTCTGCCTGATGAAAATCTGCTGGTTCAAGCAGCAGCCTGCCTGCCCACGGTGGTGCCAAAAGAAGCTGGCTCTCTGCAACTCCCCTCATCCCCGCCCAGCACAGCAATGGGATGATGTGCTGCTGCCCAACGCTTCTGCACCACACAGACTGGGAGCGCCAGCGCTTGTATCTATTACCTTGCCCACCGTGCATCTCCAGATCATGCAGGCCTTGCTGTGACAAGCCATCGTTTTTCTGATGTTTATTTTCCCTCCCTCCCTCCCTCCCTACCCTGATGTATTCCATTCCTAATGAAATCAATTTCATCGGAGCTGAACAACCTGTCCTATATTTAGAGATTTTAAAAGTCAATGGCCAAGCCTCTAGCGAAGCTGAGAGGGTGGGGTGGGAGAAACACCCTAGACTTTCAACTAGTTCTTAACTAGTGATGTTTCTGGAAGCTTGGCCTTTCCCAAAGTGCTGAGAAAATATAGTTTGAGCCCTCCCAAGTTGCAACTAAAGCCACATTAAAGCTTAATGAAAGGGGGGGGGGGATCAGCCCCTGGCCTGTAGCCAAAATAAGCCCTTGCGTGAATACAGAAATACAAGTCTCCTTTGCTTCCCAGAACTTTTCCCCCTTTTAACATGGATGCTTGATTAGACTTTGGCGGCCCAGCCCGCTGCACAGTTGCTTAGAAGTAAATTCCATTGAATGCGTCCGTCTCCAGCTGAAAGGAGAGCAGATCAGGTGGATGGGGAAAGAATGCCACCTGAGCCTATGGAAAGCCGCTGCTTGTCAGAAGAGCCAGCGCTGGGCTGGACGGATGTATGTGATGACTCAACACACAGGTTCATGGCAGGGAGACGGGACTAGCGCCTCCGTATCCAGCTTCATGATGGCACAAGATGTGGCAGGTAAAGCACAGCACTGGGGGACACACCTCAGCCACCACTGTACAAAAACTACAAAAACATCAACCAAATGGTCTACGGGACAGATGCTCTTTGGTTGTGCAGAAGCATACAGTCAACGCACAATTTTGTTCCTAGAAATGTGTTTGCCAGCCAGGCTGAGCCTGCCTTGTGCTCTCCCAGTTCCCTGTTTTGTAAGAAGAGCTACGTGGGATTGTTTAAAGAGCTGCACACTGTGCAGGACCACAAAACAACCTCATTCTCAGTCTCAAGAGCAAATGAAGGACACCTGACGCCAGATTATCTTTCACAGGAGCTGCCTCGCTCT